GGGTTTGGAAGGGATTCGTATGCTCTGAAGCAAGCTTGCCCAGCTTCAAAAAAGCGAGGGGTCGTAGTAGTAGTAGTAGTAGTAGTAGTAGTAGTAGTAGTAGTAGTAGTAGTAGTAGTAGCAGTAGTAGTTGCAGTAGTAGGTCGTAGCGAAACAAGCGACAATGCAGCAGTGCTGACAGCGACCAACGGCCGATGCTAAGAAAACTTGTCTTGCTATCACACTATCACCATCACCACAACCACCACCACCACCACCATCATCATCATCATCAGCATCGCCATCATGTCTTGCGGGCCTCCGACTCCAGGAACACGGCCGAGTAGCCGGAATCTCGAGTCAGTAGCCTGCAGCTTCGCTTTGGTTCATTGCTTCAGAAGGAGCGGCTCGAGTCTGAGAGGGTTGAAGTTTCGGTGCGGATATGCATGTGATTAGGGCTGAGGCCGAGGGCTTGGGCTTTGATTTCTTTAAGGGGTTCAGACTGTTGAAGAACTTTGGATGTCGGATTTGGGGCAGCTTGAGGTCGCGGGTTGCACTGCCTGGTGGTGCTTTGGGCCCATCTCGACCCTGAGCCCACAAGTGCCAAACACAAGATCAAGGACCCCGGCAGTTCGATCGCCAGGAGGACCGGGAGGACGGCCACGACTGCTTTCGTGCTGCTTTGTTGTAGGGCCTGGAGATTTGGACACGCATGTAGGTGCACATCTCAAAACCGGACCAGGCGCAAGCCCCGGCAGTCGATTCAGCCCTGGCCTCTTTCAGAGTCTGCATGGGCTTCTCGATGCTGCCGGCCTTCGAAGGATTGCGGGATTATCGGGCTCGCATGTTTTTCGCAGATCACCACAGAAGCGATGGAAGAGCGGGCGCTGGAGTTATGTTCTACCATGCTCGGAATCTGGCCTCTGGCGGTTCCGACGGTGACGCTGAAGCCTCGTCGGTGTCCATACCAGCAGAAGCATCCACAATGTTCATCCATGCCTCGAGTGGACCTGAGGGACGAGCGTCGAATGTTTGGTGTGGTTTTTCTCCATCAGGCACCAGGCCAGGGTCCAAATCTGCCATGGGTGAAGCCTTCCATGGGCTGGTACCCCCAGACTATCTTGTACCTCTGATCTTCACGTCTGCTTGAGCGTTCCGCGTTGCCGTTAGTGCAGCAGGTGAAGGAGCCTTGACCTGCCTAAAGCCTGGTAGAAACTTACCTGCAGAGTCAGTCAACTGTGCACCTGCTTTCCAGCAACCCTGGCACTTATAGTGCGGTTCTTAGCCAGCTTGCGCCTTCACAAGTCGCTGAAAACTATTCTTATAAATACGATCCTCTTCGACCCAGATACAACAAACTGTACCAGTGGCCTATGTAGTCAGCAACCGACGTCGCCCCTTCTCTCAGTGGCGGGCATCTTGTCTGGTCGAGAGAGACATCCTGCTGGAGGCTAAGCAGAGGCGATACCTGGGTGTGCGAGCAACGACAGTCGACACTACTACACTTCTGTGAAATTTCAAGGGTCGACGGGAAACCAACAACATCACGAAACACTTCTTTTGGCCTTTTGCCTGCTGGATCTACGAGTCTTCAATTTAAAGCATCCGGCAACCAGTAAGCAGCGACGTGTGCAAGCCTGGGTATAGTGAGCCGAAACTTAATTTTGTATACGGCTGTGCAAACTTGGCATTACAAGATTCCTGCCTAGTGCTAGGCTGCGGGGTGCTGTTCAGCTCGGTGCTGCACCTGTGTTCCAAAGCCGCAAGCGCTGATGCCGCCAATCGCAAATTCGAGCCATTACCCAAATCTCGACCAAACCGGCAGCTAACATCGAAGCCTATCCTTCATACCTCAGCCAACCCCAAAATTATGGCTTTCTTGATTCTTGTGCAAACCGCAACAGATCACAAAGTCTGAACAACATGCACAGCAAGCAATCCGAAGGCTCACGGAGTCATGTCAACGATAAACGATAAAAGGGAAAATAAACCAGAATGTTTGCGACAAAGGATGTAACCAACAAATGATAGCAACAACCAAAATCATCAACAACAACACAACCATCATCATGAAAATTACTTTTTGCCTACTGCTACATTAATATAACCTAAAAACTATTACGAGCAGACATAAAAATGTACGAACATCACAGCATGAATGTTGAAACTTTGAACGAGGTCGTGGTGGTAGTAGTAGTAGCAGTAGTAGTAGTAGTAGTAGTAGTAGTAGTAGTAGGAGTAGGAGTAGGAGTAGGAGTAGGAGTAGGAGTAGGAGTAGGAGTAGTAGAAGTAGTAGTAGTAGTAGTAGTAGTAGTCGTCGTAGTCGTAGTCGTAGTCGTAGTCGTAGTAGCAGTAGCCGTAGCCGTAGCCGTAGCTAGCAGCAGGAGCAGTAGTAGTAGCAGTAGCAGGAGCAGCAGGAGTAGTAGCAGCAGGAGTAGTAGCAATAGTAGTAGTAGTAGTAGTAGTAGAAGTAGTAGTAGAGGTAGTAGTGGTAGTGGTAGCAGTAGCAATGCTAGTAATGTTTGCAGTAGTAATAGGTGGCAGTAGTAGTCGTAGTAGCAGTAGCAGGTTTAGTGGTGGTACTGGTAGTAGTAGTAATGGTGATGGTAGTGGTGGTAGTGGTAGTAGTGGTAGCGGTTTTGTAGTATTGGTAGCAGCAGTGGAAGTGGTAGTGGTACTAGTGGTAGTGTCATTGTTCTTTAGCGACAAGGAAATCCAAGCCGAAGGGCGGAAGGCTTCCTCGCCAGCTTGCGGGAGCGGCCACCCCGGCCCAGATACACACTGGGAACGTCTGTACCTCGGAGGCTGTTTTTTGGATATAGGCTTTATGGTCACCGGTGTTGGCTGAAAGTTGGCAGGATCGAGTGTTTTCACGGTCTTTACAGGGTTTCTCTGGTGCAATGTCTGCGAAACAAGGACTCCAACCCTGAAACTCTTGGTCTGATATCAAGTCCCGGCCAGGCCACACGTGGCCATGCTTCCTTTGGCAAGGCAAGTTCCTGGGTGGCTTTGCCGGTTCGGTGACATGCCATGATGCAAACACGCCTTTGCTACAAGTCCGCAAGGGTGGCCGTGGCTTATCCGTTCTAAGGATTGTTAGAGCTGTTAGGGGAGTTATGGCCTTCAAGCAACTCGAGCTCGCAATGGAAATGTCGTGTGATAAGCCAATCATAGCCAAACCAACCACTCATGTCAAAAAGAATGACAATCTGGGTCATTGCATCATTGCATCCTACACAATAGGAACAGATTCTATAGGTCGAGCGAAGCCCTGCACTCAAATTTAATCTCTTTTGCACCCTACACCCCAAGTTCTGAACCCGAAACCCTCCCTCAACAGTGTCGCAAGGCCCGAGTCAAGCTGCTTTTCAGTGCCCGCGCGCTTCGGTGCGGCTTCGACTGCCTTTGCGCCGATGTTCGAGGAGCTTTGTCTTGCGGTACCTCGGCACAGAAATGTTTGATCAGACTTCGGATGCATACATGCCTGTGTTTCTGGGTATGTGGTCGATCCGTCGCAACCTCTCTTTTCACGCGATCCTGCTGGATCATGCTGGTGAAATGCTGGTAACCCTCTATCCGGAAAGGCTCGTTGCAAGGCCTGCGGTCGTTCATATTGTGGGGTGGAATTGCTGTAGCAGTCACCATGATATCACCAGATGCACCAAGGACATCCAAGGACCAAGATGCTTGGTGAGAGCTCAGCCCTTGCAGCCACCGTCTGTAATCCTCACGTTTCCTGGGGTGGCCAGACTAGCACAACAAAGGTCAATGTTGAACTTTTCACAGCATGGCCACATGCTTCTTGCCATGACGTAGTTCAAGGGACGAGAATGTGGCTATACTCTCATGCAATATCGGCATTGCACTGCAGCATGATGCAAGGTGTCTGGACAAGGCCGGGGTGCCTTCGCAAGCACCGGTTGCGTTCCGCGGCGCGGCTGTATTTCTCAAGCAGGAAATCCACCTGGGCCTGAGCATGAGCCAGCGCAACAGAGAGCACTCCTCTCAATCTCTCAACCCGTCCACAGTCTACAGAGTCGTCTACATGTCAACGAGGGACTGCAAAAGACCCTACCCCACGATCACATGCCTCGCTTCCGCCCACATCTGCCGCCAGTGTGGCTGGATCGAGCGGAGGCTCCATCCGCGACATTGCTGGTTCTGCGAACTATTTAAAACTCACGAGTGTAAACAGCTGCGGATAATGCCAGAATAGCCTTCGCGCCTTGAAGCCTTGAACTTAACTCGTGTCCAGAGGACTTCTCCCAAGCCCCCGATGGCCCATCGAACCCCACGCCGGGACACACACAGTACGCAACGATGGCAGCGCATCTAGTATTACACGGGAAACATCAATCATGGTGTTGATTCTGCCAAACAGGCTGCATGACTGCACCCATCTGCCTCAGTATGTGCTGATACAGATTTAGTCGAAGGTGTCTGTGTGAGACGTCCAGCGCACCTCCGTGACCAAGCGAGTCTCCTTCTGCTCCAAGCGAGCTTCCTATCAGGTTCGGGGTTACATAGTGGCTGCTGGCTCTGAGGAACTTGCATGAAATCCAGCAGCTCTGAAGTCCGATTCCTCTTTTTGCTCGTTCGCTTTCGGGACGTGCGAGTGAACAACTTCTCACGGTTCCAGGCACCGATTCAATTATCACTGCTGGCACCAACAGAAACATTCGCAGCTGGCACGCAGCATTCGCTGGGTAATGCTTCTTCCCGTGCCTACATCTGGCAAGTACAAGATTCGATACACATGCTCCGGCCTCTCGCTTTGTTCTCTATTCAAGCCAGCGAATTGTTAATTACCGCTTTGGTGATTTTGACATTCTTGGCCGTTGTTGCTGTAGTTGTTTTCTAGAGCATTCACGTGAAACCTCCATGGCACCAAGAGCAGCAAGGAGCAGCAACCGGCCTCGTTGAAGCTCTTCAGGGAGTTCACGGAGGTTTGCCGAGACAAGTTCGGGCTATCTGGCGAACGAGTGATCAGGTCGTGTTCGAGGACAGGGAAGCACAAGAAAGCAGCAACCATCTGTCCGAGGGTGTGCGAAGGACACTTCGACATTCCTGGGTGCCGGGGCAATGAGAAACTGCAAAGCTGCAAGTTGCACAATCCAAAATCCTTACAACTTACATCCATTTCCCGCAGCTAAACACCTCGGGGCTTCTGCATCAGTGTTAACCCCTAAACGAGGAGAGGCAGAGCATGACAGCCCTTGACCCGCAAAAACATGCCGCTGTGGCCGGTTTGGATTTCAAGCCTCACAGATTCACCAATCCAGAACGTGCCTACAAACAGCATGTCTGAAAGCACATGTATTATGTGCAGTCTGCTGCAGTTCAATTCGGGCACATATGCTCGAAACCTCCACAGGCAGGAATGTAAGCTTTTCCACAAGCTCGCGGAGGCTTCCACTGCTGGCACTGCAGGTTAGATGACTCCCGAGCTAAACTCTTTGCAGAGAGCGCTCTATCCTAAACCCTAAACCCTAAACCCTAAACCTTTTGAAGATGCAAAGCACCCGCGAGCCTCGGTCGCTCAGGTGCCGGATGCGGCTGCCTGAGCTCTGGATGCATAGATCTCTGGGTACAGAGCTATGCATTATGGGGGTCTGTGACTTATGAGCAAAGATGAATATCAAGTAACTATAGTGGAAGCCAGAAAGTTGGAACATGGGTTTAGGAGGATTAGTGCTAGGATCCCTTATACTTTACCTTAAGGGCACGGGCATAATCATGTTCCAACTTTCGGGCTTCTACTATACTGCATTACTGAGCTATATCGTGTGGACGTACACTTCTTCCATCTTCCTCCTATAACTATGAATGGTTCCAGCTGAAGAGGGCCCTGGCCTGCCGGTGGTCATCTTGCATGTGGAAGCTACTTGGGATCTTCGCGGGTACTCTCTATAGACTTGTTGCGGTACAAACAGTCTTGCAGTGTGCAGACAGCAGTATGCCATGCAGCATGGCGTCACGCAGCAGCTTTTGTTTCTTGGTGTCTTGGGTGTTCCTGAACTATAAGTTCCGGCAAGATATCTGGAGGTGAGCGGCCTCGTCTCTTTCACTACAGTCTATTCGTAGATGCAGCCTAACTCTACCTATGCACATGACGCTGAAAGTCCAGGCCCCCTGCGGTGCGGTCTGCGCCTGAAGCTCTGTCTGCACCTCAGATTCTTGGGAGATGGGACAGGGCAAAATACACCGTCTATCTATCCTATACATCCTATCCATCCTACCATCTACTTTGTGTTTGTCGCAACTCTCAAGGGCAATGCAGGTGCTCTAGGGGCACGGCTTAGCAATCCTAAACCATCCTAAACCTCATAAGAGCCGACCACCGGAACCCTAACGAGTAAAACTCTGGCAAGAACCTTGCTACTGAGCTCCGTGCATCCCGCACAGAGTCTCGAACTTCGCCCGTGAGAGAGGATCTCGCAGCTACGCAAGGGACAGATTCTTTACTAAGCACAATCACAATCATGAAAGACCTGCCGCGATCCAGCCTTTTCACTTGGGCTGGTGTTTCCAATCATGGCTGTAAGGAGACCTCTAGTCTAAGGCATTGGCAGAGGATTACATAGCTTGAAGACAGCTCAAAAACGCAAGCGCCATAGCAACAGGTGTCATGCCGTGGTTAGAAAACACAGTACGCTATTAGTGACAAGTGAAAAAAGGAAGCTCATGCAACTGACAGAGAGGTCTCTACGTAAAACGAATGTAGAATACATAATAATACCACCACCGCAATGACAGCGTTGAAAAGCCAAGCGGAGACTTTCGCCTGCTGCTGTGGCTGTGCAGGTTCAGCCGCTTTGCCTTCGTGAAACGCAGCAGAAACACAACAGGCGCATCTTAACATAGGGGATCACTGTTGGAGTTTCGAAAACACCACGATTCATTAGTCTTGCTTGTCTAGGCTATGCTCCTGCCAAGGGTCCCTATTTTCATGCGAGTCTTGGCAACAAACCGGATATGCGCACAGCCTGATGTTTGGAATGCAATGACCGTGACCTGGTTTCTTCGGAGTGCTAGCTCGTCGAGATTCCATGCGAGACTGAAGGACTAACCCCTTGAGTAGTGTCCGCAATGTGCTTCCATGCTCATCTGTTGCATCCTTTGTCACCCGATAGACCGATGCGAAGGCCAATTCAAGGGTTCAATTGCCCCGGGGTTGAGATTCGGATAGCCGGATTCTCCCACTCGTTCACCTGCCAAACGAATTATCACTGACATTGCCACCGCGGCCACAGTACCACTACCACTACCTTCATGAGCAATACGGCATCAATACAATTGTCATCTACCATCTACTACGACAGAGAAGTAGTCTCAATTTGGCTCCATGTCTCTTTGTCTCTCTATCTTCACATATATATATATGTACAGATATACATCTATATATGTTTTGATTGTACATGCATGCAGGTATGTATATGTGCATGTATATAATGCACATCTATTGGGGCCCAGCGGCACTTGAGTAGACCAGCCAAGCGAAGAAGACAGAGAACAGCCATCTGGCATCCTTAGCATCTCTCGTGAAGCGCGATTCAAAACACCAAGCTGCTATCAGGAAAAGGAATCGAGCCAGTGTACGATTGAAGGTGCTGCTACGATAGTGGCATTTACTGATGGGGAACCCTGCATTGTATGCAGGCATGCGTCCTGCGTGGGGAGGAAGTGCCATGCCAGCGACTCTGTCCTGAAAACAGGCTAGAAAATGATATATATATATATATACATATATATATATATATAGATATATGATGCAGGGCTGCCACACCCCCCCTCCCCCCCCATCCCATGGTATCCCCCTCTCCCCCCCCTGTGGGGTGGAGCCTGTGGCCGCATCTCCGTCCCGCCCCTTGTTCGCACTTGTGCCTGTTGTCGGTGATACTGCTCATGATGTTGTGCTGCTCTAGACGGCGACGCGAGTCGACAACCGGATCATCTTTCACATCAGGCTGAACATCATCATTGTCGTCGTCATCTTCCTCATCAGTACCGTCAAAAGAACAGCTGTCACCATCACCATCACCATCGCCATACAACCCTCATGGTTAAGCATTGTAATTCGTGTCTGATGCGGGAAACTACTGCACAGCTTACCGCTTTCGGAGCAGGGGGGATACTATGGGAAAGGCAGGGGGGTGGTGGCCCGGGACCCGAGAGCATATATGGTCACCCCACCCTCACCCCCCCCCAGATCCAGCATATGTATATATATATATATATGTATATATAGAGACTCCGGGCCCAATAGCCTTGCTAGCGGCTCGAATGTGGAATGAAGCTGCAAGCGTCGAATGTTACTGTTATTCCTGCAAGTCTAGAAGAGCGACGACTCATCTTGAGCGCATGGTCATGGTCAGCATGATCGGCCGCAAGTTCACACAGGTTTTGGTCACATCCAGGTGCGACTTGCCGCGCACCTGCGTGTGTGACCAGTGTAGAGGCGCCAGAGTCGGAAGGCCCTTGGCCAGGAGCAGTGCAAGTAGTATTATTTGTTGGTAGAAGTGGCGGTTGTAGTTGTAGTTAAAGTTATGGTTGAATATAATAATGATAATGATAATAATAATGATAGTAGTAGCAATAGTAGTAGCAGTAGTAGTGCTACGGTGTGCCGGACAGTGTCGCAGTAGTGGTAGTACCAGCGGCAGCAGCAGCAGTAGCAGTGGAATCAGTAGTATCATCAGTAGTATCGGTAGTTGTAGTGGTGGTAGTAGTAGTAGTACTAGTAGTAGTAGCAGTACTAGTACTAGTACTAGTAGTAGTACTAGTAGTAGTAGTAGTAGTAGTAGTAGTAGTAGCAGTAGTAGTAGTAGTAGTAGTAGTAGTAGTCGTAATAGTAGTCGTAATAGTAGTGGTGGTAGTAGTAGTAGTAGTAGTAATGGCAGTAGCAGTA